TTGGCCTTCTGGGGTGTGAGCTCCTTCCTACAAGGCAGGTGGCCAGGGATAAGCCTTCCTCTCATATCCTCCCTGGTGTTGAGCACAGTGCCCATCATAGGAGCATCCTGGGGGGCCATGCTCTTGGGGTCTGCTGATCCTGCTTCAGGATCAGGTGTCAGAGTTGTAGGGAGGCTGTTGGGGCTGGAGGGTGTCAGGTAGAGACAGCTAGGGAGGTGAGCCACACGCCATCAGTGCCTGGAGGAGAGCCTCGGTGGGCATGTGTTTCCTTTCTGGCAACTTCAGGCTGTGCCCTTCTCATACATGCTCCTTATAGCCTCATGATGACTCTCTTCCCCTTTAAGCATGATGTCAGTGTCAATTGTAATTTGATTTCCCATCCACTAAAAAAATGGTGATGGTGTTGACCTTCCATGCTGTCATTTGCCGTTTGGCAAATGATTAAGTACATTGGTTCTATGTCTGTCTAGATCACTGTCCAATAGAGTAGCTGCTAGCAACAAATGAGTTAAATTGAAGTAAAATTAGAGTTTTAAAATCCAGCTTTTCATTTGCACCAATCACATCCCAAGTGCTTAGTAACTATGTAGGATTAGAGGCTACCCTATTGCACAGTGTAGTTAGAGAACATTGCAGTCATTGCAGGAAGTTCCATTGGTGGGTGGCACCAGTTTAGACGGTTTGGGTTCAAATTGGGCCCTCCTCCCTTATTTTCTGGGTGACCTTGAATCATTTAGTGTTTTTCGGTCTGTTTCCTTGTTCATAAAAATGAAGAAAATAATAGCACCTACCTGGCAGAATTGTTGAAGTTCAAATAAGATAATCCAAGTAAGGTGAATGCCAGAACACAGGGAGAACTCAAGGTTAGCTGTAACAACTTATGCTATGTTACTGGCCCTGTTGGAACTGAATCCTATCTTCCCACCACAAAGAACAGCTCTGGCACCAAACACAAGGTTGGCCTCTGAGCCAGATGCTTGTTAAATGTATGAGCTGAATTGAAAGGGACTTAGGAGTCACTTGACACGGGAAGCTTTGCTGGGCCAGGGCTGAGTTTTTCTCTGTGTACGTGCAGCTAGTTGGATCTGCCGGTGAACCAGAGGACATTTCATGCTTTTACCTTTTCTGAAAGGACAGAGATTTCCCTGATTGTGGGCTGTCAGCCAAGGGTGAGCACGTATTGACCCTCTCTGGTTCTCCCTCTCTTTTTTTCCCACACTGAAAGCATATTCCCTCTTAAGAGGAAGTTTGTTTGCTGTGTCCTGGAAATGTCAGGCTCCCCAGAGGGCGGGAGGGTGGATCTGTCTCAGTCAAATGTCTCTTCCTCTGATGCAGTGGGTGACCCCCCTGCTTTTTTGAATGACATCAGCTGAGCCGTAATCAAAGTACTCACGCCTGACTCACCGCAGGCTGTGGAGAATGGACTTCCAGCATAGCAGGGTGGGAGTGAGGGTGGAGGAAATGACCCTTGGCATGTGAATGACTTCTTGACTTTTGACTCAGACTGCTTCAATTGTGGTCAGGCCTCGGTATTGCTTTGCTCTCTCTGAGCATCTGTTCATTACTCTGAAGCTTCTTGACTTAATTCTTTGCCAGTTTATGGCAAACCTGAGCACTATAAGCCACCCTAGGCTTCACAGGACGCTGCAGAAGGAGTCAGGAGGACTGAGTTGCATCAAGAGGGAGCTGGAATACTTTGCCAAATGTGCCCAGATGCTGGTCTCTGAATTGTAAATTCCCATCAACATACAGGAGCTGGAATGCATGCATTGATATGTTTCAGCATTTAGTGATGACTTGAGGTGAGGGGAGAAGGCAGTATTTGAGGTTTTGGGAGCCAACCAACATAGCATTCTGGAACTAACCTTGAATTGCTCTCAGAAGCAGAGAGATGTCAGCTGTTTCCCAGCCTCTCAGCCATCTCGTCTCCCTTGTAATTATAACTCATTGTTCCACTGACTTCCTTTTCCATCGGACAGTGTCTCAAGGGTGGACCTGTCTCAGGGCAGGGCTTCCAGAAGCAGTCTTAGCCAGGGTTCCAACATGTTGCTCTGGGATGCTGGGATTTTCCCAGAGCTCCTTAAAGTCTGACAGACAAGTTGTCGGAGAGCCAACCCCAGCCTAGCAAAAGTGAAAATTCGTTTACCATCGGGGCTGTTTCCTCCTGAAACAACTGATAAAGCTCATCACCTCATCTATCATGTGCAACTCGGCACTCAAAGATTATTTTCCTCCTGCTTCCTACTGCATGGCGGGATAGACCTTTCTACTCTTCCTAGACGTTAACTTTAGTAGATAGCTTGGAGGCGCTGTGCCTTTTTACTTCTAAATACTTTATATTGCTTAAGAGTAAGAATATTCTTCTCTTACGTAACTATAGTGCAGTTACTAGAAACTGAGCTTTATATGGAGGCAATAACACTGAGACTGCATCAAGCTTTTGAAAAAAATGTTCTTTATACCTTTTATGAAGAGCATGTTATTGCAAAAGTAAAAACTCCACACATGTATTAAGGGCTCACTCTGTATCCAGTGCCATGCTTGGAGTTGTGCCTCAAATGAGGAAAATATGAGAAATGTTTTTTTCCATCTGTGGAAATAAGATAAAAACATGTAAAAAGTTAAAAATCAATGACAGGTTTAAAAAGAGCGTATGAATTGGTTAAATATGAGTTCCTTGGGGAAAATAATTTGAAATATACTTGCAACAACCACCATAAATTATAAATTCAGTATTGAAATAATTGCTCAAACTTTTAGGCTGTTAAATTCCTTGGCCAATCATAAAATTGTAGCAAGATTTTTAAGTTAATTGGCAGTAAAGTTTGAATTTTTTGGAACTTTGGTCAAGTCAGGGTATGGAGCAAGAAATGATTTGTTTTATTAGACAAAGCCTTCGATTCCAAAAGCACAGGAAACTCGAGCTAAAACTCATTTGTAGTGGTTGAGTCTAAAGGATTAGTGAAAAGCTAGACTGTGTCATGTTCATTTTGTACCCCACTCCTCCCAAGCACAGTGCCAGGCACATGCTAGATGCTTGATACTCTCTTTTTCATGGAAAAGCAATGGACTGTATTTTGAGGAAGAGACATGGAGCCTGAATGTATATCGTGGGGTGCAAGACTTTGGGATCATTTCTCTTAATCTTCATCCCCAGAAGAAAAGGTGCAGTGAAACTCTATATATCATTTTGCTTTTTTTTTTGTTCTTGAGCCTTCTCCCTGTTTGGTGAGAATGCAAAGAACAGACAAGTGTCTGGAACATGGTGCACACTCACCCTGGCCTTGAACCATGTGCTGAGTGGATCGGTCCTCCTGAAGAACTGAAAATGGGTATTGAGAATGTATTACATGAAGTTTAAGTATGCTCCACCATAGGGAGCGGTTGTGCACATTCAAAAACAAGACAACTGGCAGAAGTACACGGAAGAAATACAAGGGAGAGACATAGAATGGGAAGCCTGAAATAGTAATTAGGATTTCAAGGATAGAGTAAAGGGACTGACGGTCTAAAGAGTGAAAGAACATCTGGGTGAGTCTGAGTATGTATGACAGGGCACAGTATGTGCCTATTGTATATTCACAGTGTGTCTTCATGGGTAGGCTTGAGCCACTTCAGGTACAGAATGGAGTGGACACATAGAAGTTGATAAATGTCCCCTGAAACAAAAGACAGCAACCCAGTACCTTATTTATTTACATCATTATCCACCAAACAACCTCTGAAATGAAGATATTGCCAATGAAGATGTAATCTGCAAGGATTTGTAAGCTACCCCCCAACCCCTCATAAGTGTACAGGGTTTACCATAGATTGGGTAAAACAGCTATGTCTGCCCTGAATTTATAAATTCAGGATCCTAAAGGTCACAGACATGAAATGCAAGGATGTTATCCCACATGGTGGGTGTTAACTGCTGACTTTCTGCTTTTCTTCATTACTTTTGGTTACTTTAACCCAAATGGGTCCTGTCTCCTCACTTCTTTGAGCTCTTTGTGTTATTTTGTTCTCCACCCATTCTTGGTCACTCATTCCCCTAGTTATATTCACAACCTTGTCATCACCAATAACTACACCTCCAGAATCTCAATCTCATGCCTCCCTCTCTTTGACCAACACCTCTGTGCTTCTACTTCACTCTTAGAAGCTCCAGACCAATCTTTCTGTCCCACCAGACCATCAGTTCATTAGTCCTACCATGTTTTTCCCCTACCATTCATCTTCTTGCTATCTTGTCTGCTTCTTCACCACAATTAAATTCTGTATTGAATTATAACCCTTGCATATACCTTGATTCCTTTTCCATTCTCTCACTTTCATTGTATTCATGTTGACAAACTGCAACCTTGATTAAATCCAAGTTTTAGCACCTGTATCCGTGCTTAGAGAAATGTAGTTGGAGGAGAAGATATAATTACACTGGTTAGTCTCACTTTAAAATCCATAACCTTGAATCTAAAGTGAAATTTTGAATGCCAAGGAGCTCTTCACCCCTGGTCAATTCACACTCTTATTTTTCTAGAATTGCTTCACAATCTGTCACAAATAGTCTCATTCCACACATACCCTCGCACACACCTTATTTTTTAATTGAATTTTGTCAAAGTAAAACATGGAGGTAGTAGTTTAAAAACTCAACAGATAAGTATGTAATGAACGAACTAGTTCTTTGCCAAATTTCATTTCTAATTCCCATGTTATTGAGATAATACTTCCAGTTCTTTTATTTTTGTTGTTTTGCCCCCAAAGACCATGATTATACTATTATTTTTTCCTCAGTAGTATAGTGCCTTCACACACACTTTCTCTCATAGTTACTCTTCCCATTGTACTCTCATTTTCCCATATGGTTTTCTCAATTCTCGAAGTCATTCCTCAATATTTATATTACTATGTAATTAATATTCACAGCTGAACTACAAAGTATACTAGGGCAATATTTTTCTTCTTAAAAGAATAACATTTTTTTTCTCCCTAGAGAAAAAATTGACACCTTTTTATTTGCTAAGTTTTCTTTGCACCTGTTGCTAAATCTCTCAAATTTTCCTCTGGGACAGATCAGAAAGTCTTCTGTGAGTTTGTTTATACATGCTAGGTATTCCATCACTTTCATTTTCATCTTGACTGTCTCCTTTAGAAGCCTCCTTCATGTGTCCCAGTAAAGCTGATTATTCTCTAGAAAGAAATCTAAAAAGATTTCTAGGTTTTCCTAACTAAAACTGCTATGCTGGGACTTCTCTTCATTCTCACTCATTGGATTCCTTCATGTGTCTTGTGTTGGAGCCTTGTCACCTGGATCCCATGTCATCTTCCTTCCTGCTTAGCTTTTCACTGTGGAGGACTGGATCATTCAGTAGCTTCCTGGGAAAGGTAGCTGGGAAGACAAATATTAGGCATATTGAAAGTCTAAAATATCTTTATTTCACCCATATACTTGACTGATAATTTACCTGGGTACAGAATTTTAGATTGGCATCAGTTTTTTCTCATATTTTGATGGTATGGTTACATTGTTTTCTAGTTACCAGTATTGCTAATAAGAATTTTAAGGACGTTGATACATCTTTTGTAAATGAAATATCTTTTCCTATCCATGTAATTTTAGGCACTTTGTCCCTGGTATTTAGAAATAAATCACATGAGGAACCTTTATATGGGATAGTTTTTCATCTATTGCACTGCTTTTTTTTTTTTTTGAGGCAGAGTCTCGCTTTGTTGTCCAGGCTAGAGTAAGTGCCGTGGCGTCAGCCTAGCTCACAGCAACCTCAAACTCCTGGGCTCGAGCGATCCTCCTGCCTCAGCCTCCCGAGTAGTGGACTACAGGCATGCGCCACCATGCCCGGCTAGTTTTTTCTATATATATTAGTTGGTCAATTGATTTCTTTCTATTTATAGTAGAGACGGGGTCTCGCTCTTGCTCAGGCTGGTTTTGAACTCCTGACCTTGAGCAATCCGCCCGCCTCGGCCTCCCAGAGAGCTAGGATTACAGGCGTGAGCCACTGCGCCTGGCTATTGCACTGCTTTTTCAGGGGGCCCTTCCAATCTGAAAACTCATATTTTTTAGTTCTGGAGCTTAGTACTATTACCATCTCATAATTGTTGCTCTCTATTTTTTCAATTTTTTTTCTAGAACTCCTATTTAGTGGCTGTTGTATATCCTAGATCAATCCTCTAATTTCCTTACCTCATAAATTTTCTTTTTTCTACTTCCTGGGATGTTTCCTCAATATTTTTAAATACTTCTGTTGAATTTAAAACTTTTATATTTTTATTTTTCAAATTCTTTTTTTTGTAACAGAAATGCTTTTATTTTTAACTTTTAAAAATTGACACAAACTATATTGTATACAATGTTTTGAAATATATGTACATTGTGGAATGGCTAAATTGAGCTGATTAACATGCATTATTTCACATACTTTTTTCCTGGTAACACAAATTGATAAGAGTAGATTTTAAGAATACAATACGTTGTTGTTAGCTATAGTTACCATGTTGTATCAAGAACTTTCTCTTATATTCTGAATGTTTCTCCTTTTGTAGTATCATGTTCTTCTTCCATGGATTTCTTTCATTTGTTCTTAATTTTTGAAGGATATCATAAAATACTGCAATTAGTCCTGGGCATGACATGCAAACATGCAAGAATAAATTTGTTAAAGAACATCTGAATGCTTCTGTCCCTTGAGATTTGGTGCATGAGATGTAACTTAAACATTTGTTCTTATGACTAACTCCAGGGAAATATTTCTTCACAACTCCTTCTCTCAGTCTTAAAACTGGAATTGTCTTTATTTTATCTTAAAAATTTTTTGCCCAGGCTGGTCTCCAACTCCTGGCCTCAAGCAATCCTCCCACTTAGACCTCCCAGAGTGCTGGGATTACAGGCCTGAGCCACCATGCCTGACTGGAATTGTCTTTAAGTGCCGAGAAAATTTGTGAGTTGTCACTAGGACATGAGAGGACACTGCTTAGGTGAGTGGCGAGATATGAGAAGTGACAGCATTTACGTAAATGTCAAAAATATTTTAAATTAACTTGTCAGATCCTTTTCTGAGATAGCATGAATGCAATAGGTCTTTGCATAATGAAATATCATTTTCAAATAGTACCCAGTATCCATTTCTTGCTTCTTTTGGTTTTAATTGTGGTTTCAGAGTTATTCACGAATTAGCATAATATTTACGACAGTTGCTTATGACAGCTGACGAACATTTTGCAATTTTAAACAGAAATACTCTTAATTTTGTATATGTATGGCTCCAGATGTAATATTATGAAATGTGATACCAATTATTCATTGGCAACTAGGTGGACATTGAATTGGGAATAAGTTTATTTTTATAAAATAACGTAGTAACACGTAATCAAAAAAATTCAGCTTTAGTTAAATTTTGTTTTAAACTTTATTATAAATAGTAATTTAAAATTTGTCTGAATTTTAATCATTTTGCATGCCTGGGAAGAAATAACTTTAAGAATCATGTATTATGAAAACAGACTTTTTTGAAATTTATATTTTTGTTAAATATAATTTTTATAAACCTTGATACAATCATATTTTATTTTAAAACTCATTACTGTCAAGAGAATCCAAAATGTGAAAAATTCTCAATTATAACAGTGATTTTGCTGAAATGAAGGCAAGGAAAAGAAAATTTGTGTAATAACTATGGACTTTGTGTGACTTTATTACTGATCTAAACATTGCTAGCCCAGCAATAGAACACCAGACAAGGGTGCTAATAATCACATATAGTAATTGTTGATGTTTTTCTGACTTTTAGTCATTTTACATACTCTTCAATTTTATTGTGAAGTTATACTCATGAAGGTAAGAGGAGATGGCATATTTTATTTAACAATTTGTTAGCTTGATTTATGACTTCTGAATATTTAAACATATGCTACATGGGCCTCTATGTATACTCCTGCTCTAGGAGATGTGGAGTCCTGGTTATTCTTTTAGGTTTAGGCCTAGAATTGAAGGCTGCTGAGATTGTTACCTGAGCCTTTCACTGTTTTCCCATCTTTCTTCCCCTGTCACTCACCCCTCCTCTAAATTAGAATAGGGAGGCAGAGATTACGAAGGGGTAACATACAATTTATTTTCTAACACTCCATTGTGGAGGTAGAGAGTAACAAGACATTTTTTACATAATCAAGTGCTTATGGTAAGATGAAATGTCCCAGTGTCTTTGAGAAAGGGACCCATGAAAATTACTAGCTCCTTGATGATGGAAGCTATGTAGAATTAATCTTTTTCTTTAAAATAGTGCCTAGGAGAATACTTTGCAAATTGAGGAGTCTTTTTGGAAAGAGTGAAACTTGGCAAGGTCTGGAGGATGAGTAGGATTTACAGAGTTAGAAGCATCTGGGCTGGGAATGCAATTGTGAGCAAGGTACAAAGGTGTACATATATGTGCACATGTGTTTATGTGCATGTAAGGTGGGGGCCAAGGGTTGGGGAAAGGGGGACAGAGATTAATTTTTAGCTCGGGTATGCTGCAGAAAGTGAGGAATAAGATGGGATAAAATAGGGCCCCAACTGATGCAAGACCTTAGAAGAAAACGTTATTCTCAGGTAACATTAGGAATATGTGGAACAGAGAGGATGGTGCTGCTGTTGGAAAAAGGCAATTTAATGGGTAATCGTGAATTGCAATTACTTCCAATCAAGCAAAACAAAGGGGAATGATTAAGATAGTGCTCACTTGTAAGAAATTAGAGTTTTAATATCTGGAAAGCTCCAGAGTGAGCAGGAAGCAAAGCACATTACCTACCTTAAACCCCAAGCTCTCTTTCTAAAGACATTTTTAAGAGCCAATTTTTTGAGTGTCTTTGCTTAACTATAAAGAAAGCAAAAGAGAAGCAGGAAGGGTGAGGGCCAGGAAAATTTGAGATGATTTTTCCCTTGTTACATAATGAAACTTAAAAAAAAAAAGGCAGATAAGAGCATCAATCAGTTTCTTTGATTTTGGGCCAAGTCGAAATGTCCTCTGTTCTGTTTGCTCATTTCTAAAGAGCTTTATGTTAACAAACTCTAATCCATTTAAGTTTTCCTTTTGGAAGGACATTTGTGCTCATAAGAAAATGTAACACCTGTCAAAATCTTATGAGATTGAGAAGATAAGCAGTTTATTAAAATGAATACAGAAAAAAAAAAAAACAAAAAAAAAACTGGGGCAAATTTATCTCCAGTATACTGTCCTAACCTTGAGAAAGGGCATTGGAGGATCTTCTGGGGGAAGAGCTGGCCCCAAACCCTTTTTACAAAATACAATCACAGACCCTGCAGCTTGGGAATTACTCTGTAAATGAAAGTGAAAGAGTTCCATTGCTGGCCATGTTATCAATTGGCTCTGTGACTTTGGGGGACACGTGTCACCTTTTTGTGCCTTCATTTTTTTTGCAGAGCAGATTTGTGCCTGGGTCTTAATTTATAGAGGTGACTGACAGCACAAGTCAATGCTATTGAGAGAGAAGTTTAATGTCATAGACAATTCCCCTAAAATGATAGGCATGGCATGCATGCAGGGCCACAGGAGCAGCATTAGTGTCATATGGGAGGCAGAAAGGAGGGAGGGGAAGGCACAGGTCACAGACTTCATAGGGGTTTCTATGGGAAAGGCAAGGTAGAGTAGGGTCAACAGCTCAGAATTAGCTTCAGTAGGCTTTGGGGGATGGGAGTTGTCCCTAGTTGTCTGGGGCCCGGCCCTGGGTTGCTTTAGCGTGGGGGGAATATTGACTTGGTGTGTGAGAATTAGATAAAAGAAGTAGTTGAGGGTATGGACTGTAGATTTTTTGGTTTATATATGAAAGGTAGAATCACTGAAAAGTTGTTTACTGTCTCTGGGAATTATCTACCCCTGGGAAGGCAGTCTCTCCCCCAGCAGCAAGGCCCTCCCAAAGATGTCAAAACATATACAAAATATAAAGTGTGACTAATACACAGATGTCTTTAATTTAGATGAAGTCCAATTTATCAGTTTAGTCTTTTACATAGTATCTTCTTTGTCATTGTAGATAAGAAATCTTTGAGTGTCAAAGATGTTCTATGATTTTTGTCTATAAGTTTTATAGCTTTAGGTTTTATATTTTAAATCTGTGACCCATCTTGAGTTTACTTTTGTATATGTTTCAGAGTTCTTGTTTTTTCTGCTTATGGATACATAATTACTCTAGCACCATTTGTTGAAAAGGCTATCCTTGCCTTTCTTGATTTGCTTTTGTACCTATGCCAAAATTTAATTGTCCACGTATTTTATGGGTCTATTTCTTGACTTGTGTCTTATTGGTCTGTCTATCTTTGCATTAATGCACTGTTTTATTAGCAGTAGCCTTATATTAAGTCTCAGCATCATTGGGTTTTGT